TGTTAAAACAGGGAATGGACTGGCCAAACAGCTACCGGGGAAAGTACAGCAATCAATTAAACTGGGCACATGCAGATCAATGGAGCCAAATACCCAAAGTTGGAAACTAGCTAATTGAAAAGTTATTGATTGCTTTAGTCAATGCCTTTCCCTGGATTACCTTGCACTTTCCCACATTACGGCTGAACTGCGGGCTTTTTAAACATGGAAAGAGACATGAAGGAGCACAGACCACCGAGTGCAAGGGCTGAAACGTTATCTGAGTTTTATAATCCAATCAGCTACAAAATTCTCAAAACTGGCTTTACAAGCTAAATGGTTTATTTTGATAAAAAGCTGAGCTGTTGAAAGATAAGCCTGGCCATCTTTCAACCTCTTTAGATTGATCTAATCAAAATCTTTTCACCACATATTTTCAAAGAAGCCACAGTGAGTAACGCATTAGTCTGAGATTTACACTATATCCACCCACTGTTGGGTAGCATCCATTGTAATGTGTTCAGAATGTGATTGAAAAAGAAATGTAAACTCAGTGGAATGAAAAAAGATAGACTTGGCTTTAATTGAAAAAGACAAACTAAATGAATAATGAGTATATAAAACGTAGCCTATGCCACTTTTATCACCCATATACGACACTTAATGTTCAATTTATGAGAGACAACTGAACTGTGTTTCAAATCACCAGAGGCTTTCCTTCCTCTGGCAGCCCTACTTTCTCTCTGCAAGTACGTCAAGGCAAATATCAGCTGAGATAAACATACTTGGAAATCTTACAGCCCGCTCATTTTTTTTAACTAAATTTAGAGGTTTTGAAAGAAACAAATACTGATTAAGATTAGATTAACTAATTACATGTGCATAACATCAAGAGCCTTACTCACTAATCCAAGGCGAAAACACTTTCAGTAGAAAGCCATGTCAAAATAGCCCCCAGCAAGAAAAGAGAAGGCATGTTACTCTTAAGATAAATAGATAAATAAATTTCCTAATGCTACAGCTTCACTTACTGATACTATTTGAGCCAAACAAAATTTCTATAAACTTCTGGTCCCTTGATATGCAAACTCATATACCTATTTGTAGAAGAAAGTATCTTAGAGATGCCATAGGCTGATTTCATTTTCAGATCAAATGTTCTCTTAGCAACTTTATTCTCATTAAGTTCTGCTGCCAAAATGGGACAGGCTTGTTCTTGCTCTGTTGGACAATCCAGGTACTAAGAAGCAGGTGATGACTGGGGACTCAGTAGGTGGCACTCTTCCCTTTGCATACTCAGCCAATGCTCCAGAAGAAATACTAGATATACCATAAATAATTCCCATATGGGAAATAAAACCAAAATGTTGACCAAATTATAAATAGGAATTGAAAGGGTGAGAAACAAACCATACTGGACTTGGCGCTGAAAATATCCTACCTCGGTTTCAACTGAATTGCATTCTTAATCAAGTGCCCCTAACAGGATTACTGATTACACTGTGTGAAGGTTTAAAAAGAAAAATATAGTTCTGGAAATCCCCAATAGGGGGAAAAGGCAATATTTCTAATCAAAACTGCCATCTGAACAGAATCTCAAGGTCACTTTGCTGAAACCATATAGTCACTTTGTTAGAATTTGTTCAATTTGATTCTAACTTTTCGGCGCAAAACTGATAGCTATTTTCCTCTAATACTAGTTTTAATTTCTTAAGAAGAAGGTAGCATACCGTTCTAGCTTTCCTTTTAAAACATGTTGTCGTGATGTGAACGGATGAGGAGTCCGAATATCCGACCGCAAACTCCTGCAAGCCCGCATTTAAAGGGTAATTAGACAAATGAGAGCAGCAGGCAGCTTTCCCAGAGCTGCTCACCTTCTTGCCTGCCAGGGGAGAACCCACATAAATTAAGACCGTTCTTGCTATTAGTCCTAGTCAAAATATTTGGGTATGGGGTAAGATTAAACGGCCAAGAATTGGGGCTATCCTTTGGTTTTAATTTTCCAAGATAAACCTGTTCTTTCATTGTTGGGGAGGGGGGGGTCAAAGGTTGATTCAACACAATGTTATATAAACTGTTCTAAAAAGAATAATTTAACATTTCTTATTTTCAAAATATATAGGCCTTCACTTTTTAGTATATCGACACTATAGAAACAGTAACTGTCCAAACTATATTGTCATTTTTTCAAGGATATTACTGTGAGTTAGGAGTAGTAACCTTAGTTTTGTATTTCCATACAGTTTTTTTAAAGAGGGAAAAGAATGAGGAGGGGCCAGATATTGAGATGGCAGTCTAAAGTTATGATCTGAAAGCAAAACAATGACAAAGAAAAGGCATGATTACAAAAAACACATTTGAGCACCCATCTCCATAAAGCAAACACTTAATATGTGTGACATATGATGACTTAGATAATCAGCGTATGGAACATAAAGTGAAATGTCATTTTTCTTTCTTCTGAAAGCAGGGGATTTTAAATTCCTGCAAAGGTTGGTTCCTTATCTAATTCACACTGTGCCACAAATTTTAAGAGCCTTAAGTACTCATAATTACCAGGAACAGTATCTCATCTTCAGTTTAAAAAAGAATGCACTAAGTAAGCCAGCAATCTCTCTAAAATCCAATCAATTAAAACACTGTGCTCTAATTTTACAATTCGATATTTAATCATGTGCTATCACCCAAAACACTTGAGTGATGTAACCGTCAGTGAGCATCCCAATAAGATTCAAGGGCAAGATAACTGTGTAGAGCATCTAGTCTAAAGATGTTAATTAAACATAAAATCTTCACAATCATCTTTGAATACTTAAAAGTTGTTCTGCACCATGAAGAAGGCTAGCTCACGGGTTTAATTCCTTTACTGTACACTGCATCCATAAGCTAAAAACAGCTTCTAAAAATAAAATGGAATGCAAACCTATAATCTGCAAACATTTATTGTCTTAATATTTATTTTAATCCATCATGCATTTTATAAAAAGTGAATTTCAAAAACTGTGCTCGTACAACCTTTAACTTAAAAGATAGCAAAATACACAGAAAGCATTAGCAGATAAATGTATAATTCTGAGCTTTGGTTGACATGATACAAGAGAAAGCCACAAAAAGTACTTGCAATCTATTAATGTCAGAGAATGATAGGTCACATAGCCCACATATCATACATACTATGTCAGAAGTATAGCTGTGGATCCACGTGATAACTTGCTACTAAGGGAGCTGTCAAGTTTTAAAAGTTAAACAAAGGTATTTTTTTTATTAAAAATAGACCTAGAATAACCTGAAAACAATGACGTTTCTGAAATAAAACATTTTCTGATCTAATTATTAAGACCCTTTTATAAACATGCAATTCCAGCATTGGACACACCCCCCAAAAAAAGTTAACTATAATGAAACAAAACTGTCCTATAAGTGCTCATATAATGGAATAAATGCTTCCTTATATCACCATCTACAGGTCTTTCATCGTTTCTCTTAGTGGCACTTGTTAATGACAAGAAGCATCTCTCAGAATGGCATAGTACATCATCACCCTGCATCACGTTCAAACACAAGTCTGCATCCATACATATATTTGCATTTTTCGATCATATTCATAACACACACAACCCAACAAGGCATTACAATGCTTGCTCTCACAGTGCTGCAACAGTAACACTATTTCAATTATTACATTTTAGATGACCTTGTTTCTTGATACACAACGTACAACATAAGCATCTAGGAGAAACTTTTTAATCCAGTTATCCATGACCAGCATCGGAAGAAATATTTTAGAAATAACCAAACTGAAACTATTCCAACTTCCAGAATCCTAACATCTACGAGACATATATGATGCTATCCAAGACCATCAGGACATGCAAGTCTTATGCCACTCTAAAAAGTATTTTCTACTTTGTGCAGAACTATAGCGCTTTCCTTGATGCTCAGGTGGAAACACACCCCTCTGTACACTACTGACCTAACAGTAGATTCACTATAGCACTGAGGAACCACATCTCAGCTCCACAAAGTTCCTATAAATGGGAATGTTAACGCGAAAACGGGAAGATGAGAGTGCAAAGATGAAGTTCTTTCATCACATGATACAGGAAGTAGGACTTTGAACACATCCTTCCCTTTTTCACTTTAATAGTTACTGAGGCTGAAGGCAGTGGTCGTTTGAAAATCGGGCAGCCTTCAAAAATGTGAACGTGTGACCTGACTGCTCAAGAAAGTGGGGGCTTTGGAAATAGCACCTTTTCACTTCCTGCCTCTTAACACCTGCGGCCCTACAGTCTCTTTGCTAACAGCTGCACCCCTACTGGCTGGTCACTCAGGGCTACAGCTAGGACATCTATCTTCGCAGTTCTCACACATACATTCAGCAACATTTGCTGTCCATATCCCGCCCTCACATTTCGGTCTTTAGGAAACTCTTAACTCTCCGGCTCTGAAGGGAAGATCAGTACATTTCGGCATACACGCCCACTCCCTTCCAGTCCCGCACCCAGGCACCGGCACCGCGATCCCCCTACTCGGCCCGCCCCCACGGCCGCAGAAGGTGACGGCTGAGCGCTTCTGTCCCTGCCGGCTCGCCGTCCCGCGCCCCCGCCCCCGGTGTCACCGCCCCCTTCCCTCTCTTTACCTGCCAACAGGTTCCTAATTTCCTCAGGGAGCGGACCGGGAGAGGAGGTGCTGCTGGGGTTGGGCATGGTTGTGATTGGGACCTAGACTCGCTCTGGCCGTCCGGGTGAGCACCGCGGGGCTATGAGCCAGGACACTGCCAGGCCGAGACTCACAACAAGGAAGTCCCTGGCTCTCCAGCCAGCGGGCGCTGGACGCCGGGCCCTACCCCGCCCGGGAGAATGGGGCGGGGCCATGGCGAGGGGGCGGGGAGAACGACCTTGGAGTCCGACTGCGCTTGCGCTTGCGTAGCCCTTGCTTTCTGTGTGTTCTAAGACTGCGCGTCCAGGCTGGCCACGCCCACACCACCTCCGGGCAGGCCACGCCCACACATAGAGGGAGCTGGAGGCGGGGTCGCAGAGGGAAGAGAGCGGATTGGAGCCGGGTCACCTGACCAGGCCTTGAAGTGCGTCCGCGCCATTTTTGGTACTGGTGCCGTAGCCACGCCTCACTCTTTCTCCAGGATTCCGGAAAATAACGTCTCCGCAGTGCCTACAGGCTTTCCTGTTAAGGGGCCGTCTGATTAGTGCTCGTCTCCACCAAGGTTTACCCCCCTCATCTGGTAACCCACCAGGAAGTATCCACCCCCCTCCCACGCACTAGCTTGGCCTTCTTTGTCCCACTGATTGAAGGTAACAATATCCCGTGTTCCGCCAGTCCTTCCTGAGAAACAGGGGAGCGTTCTGATTGGCCCTGACGTTACTTTTCTACCTATTCTTGGAGTGAATTCTGGCTCTGACAGAAGTTGTTGACATTATCCTTTTTGGGGCAGGCACCTGAAAGTCAGGTTGGTGCTACCAGTAATCCACCTGTATCGCTGCCCCGCTATAAGTATTTTATAATCTCTAGTAGTGATTAGAAGAATAAATATATAAAATCAGTTTAATTTAGTTGGCAAATACTGAGCCTTCTGTCCTTAAATCTTACAGTTTTACTCTAAAACTCAAAAAAAGTTCTGGCCTTGAACTCAAGGATCTACGTCGTGAGTGCTGGGATTAAAGGTATGTACTACTATGCGCAGCTTTTTTTTTCTTCCCTCCAGCTTTCTTTAGACCAATGCTCCTTATACTTTACTCTGCCCTAGAATCACAGACAGAAACTATGAAGGTGTGGGTTCTCAACTCCTAGCCCAGGGATTCTGATTAAATGGAAACCAGTCTCTGATAAATAAATATAATCTGTGTTGAGATTTGATTTCGAGAACCGTACTATTTCCTAATTCCTACAGAGTGAAATTTGTAGTGTCTTCCCCAGCTGGAATTCTAAGCCTAACATAGAATAATAGCTCTATTAATATTTCATCAAAAAATGTCAGGGCTGGGGGATAGCTCAAAGCATGTGCTTTGCATATACAATTCCCAGCACCGAAGAATAAATACCTGCGTTTTTCAGAGAGTACTCATAAAAATTAGTACTCAAATGTACTATGACATTTATGTAATTCTCAAATAGGCAATAATAAAGACTAATTTTAAAAGGAAGACTATTTAGGTGCCCATGTCTTACAAAACAGCAAAGACAAAAACTTAACCACTGAAGTAAAACGTGAAAAATAATAAGAAAAAAGACACCTTCAAAGTGACCATTTAACCAAAGTGGAATCGAAAATTCCTACCCAGATGAGCAATGTGAAAAATTATAAAAAGAGTACTGAAAATTAAAATTCTTTTTTTGTGGAGTTAAAAGTGAATTTAGTTCTTCCAACTTGAAAGAATTAAGAGCTGTTATTAAACTACAAAATCATCCACTTCCTACATAGAAGACTATCCTGTGGGTGGTTATGTTAGGAAAATTATTCCTCCTTTTACTCTACTTAAATAATTCTCTGTCTTGCCACATTTTTATTAAGAGCCTGCAGATATCCCAATCCTTTGTTGCCTTCAGATAGAACTGGCCACTTTTTTATTCTTATGTCTTATTTATTTGTATTCCAGCTCATTCTACAAAGGAATTGGGGCGATTTGCTCTGTCTCAAATAGACAGCTCTCTAGAGTGGATCAAATGGACAGTGGCTACCCTGCTCATGATGACAAGTCATTCTTGTTAGCCAGAAACAAGAAACTGTTAAAACTGCCTTAAAATGTATAGCATCTAGCAGTCCAAATCAAAAAGGCAATAACAGAAAATGGACTTTTGGTATGAAACCCTCTTCCCTTATTTAGAAAGCCATTTTCAGACACAGGTTTTGTCTGCATCTGTGATGGATGCACTTAGGCAATGCTGTGTATATGCCATTGTCTTTAGTGTTTCTTGCTAAAGTTACTGCATCGCTTGTAAGATCGAAAGAGAAATAAAGAGAGGTTGGAAGAAATGAATCCTTATTTCTCTTGTCTTCAGAGGTTTCCATAACAAAATCTAGTAGAGAAATCAATACTCTTCATACCTTAGTTATATTAGGATTTAAACAGTGATGATGATGATGATGATGATGATAAATGAAACTTAAAATCTCAACCATAATAATAATTATTATTATTATAATAAATGAAACTTTAAACCTCAACCCAAAAGAGGTTGAAGCCTCCATCCCATTCCACAGGAAAATCCTAGACTCTTAGAAAGTTTCTTGAATTGTTTTCTTGGAAGTAAATCCTTCAGTTCAAGAAAATAATATACACCCTGAGAACTAAAACAAACCCCCTTCTCTATGACTTTCAAAATAAATGGAGAGTGCTGAACAAGGACATAGAAGAAAAGCTGACAGTGACCAAAACAGTTTCCTTTTCTTTGCCTCTCATCTTCATTTCTGTTTAGCTTTCATGTAGAAGAAAGATTATCCATAGGCAGAGCGTCTGTCATTTATTTCTGCATGATAAAAGTTAGCAGCTTTAGTTCCACAGCTATGGTGGTCAGAAACCCTTGAGCAGACTGACATGATGACCTGTCCCCCCACCCCCGCACCTCTCATGGGGCTCAGTGGCAGCCATTCACAGATTTGACCAAAGCTAAGAGGATCTAACTGAAGATAGCTCAGCCCTGGGCTTCTGACTGGCACCCTTGGTTCCTCATTGGCCACTGGGAAAAGGCCTTAGTTCTTGACAACATGGGTTTCTCTTTGGGGCAGATGAATGTCCTTCCAATATAGCAGTTAGCTTTTCCAGAGCAAGTACCAAGAGATGAAACAACCAAGACAGACTTGTGCTCCTGTAAGCTGAGAGTATTAGACAAAGGAAGTAACTGAGATGCTGTTTAGTTCTAAGGTTAACCAATGAAAAGTTTTAAACCTGTCTTTCAAGTCACCTAGTAATGTCTTTAAAAGGGTGATTAGAAGTTAAAATTTGTTTTGTTTCCTAACTTACCTTTATTTCCATTTGAAATTTCTAGATATGATGTGAGTTTATCATTGTGTAGCAATAAACAAGAAAAAATTATATTGTCATTGGAATTCATATGCCCCCCCCCAAAAGATGTGACATTGAACTCAATGAGAACCAGAAAATTCTGATAGAAGTAGCTCATGACTGAGCTTTTAGGTTATAATTTCTTGACTTGGGTTGTTTGTGCCAGTGATCAAAGTCACAGCCTGAGCTACTGTCCCAGCCCACACTATAATTATTACACTTATTAGTATAGTTGATTATGATAGCAAGTCAACAAACGCAGCCATTCAATTTTCTGTCCTCTTATTTGCCCTTGTACCCAGATTCTTTTCCGTCTAGAGCAATCATTTTAATATAAAGAAAATAAACAATTCTACATGGGCTAGATTTGAATTCCAAGTTGTTCTATGTCTTTAGGATTCTGTAAGTTAGGAATGAGGTGAGAGAGCCCTCTCTCCAGTTCTGAACGCCTACACAGTCATAACCCTCTTCTCCTTCCAGACTCTCAATGCTCACACATCTCACCAACGATTAGCACAAGACCTCATACGTGCTAAACCCTAACTGAGCTATACCACCAGCCTAGCTGTAAGGTCAATTTGGATGACAATCTAGTTTGAACCTTTTATCCTACTTCTAACTGACTCTGAGACCAAATCCTAATTAAACCTTGTCCCGCGCTCGGCCTCGCCTGCAAGAACCACGCGGGACACAGGATCCTTCTGCAGAAAAGCTTTATGTCTCTTGGGAGCTAGAGCATAAGCCACATGGCGGAGACCCAGATAAGATGGAACCCATCCCTTATATAGGAAACAGACCCTGCTTCGGAACGTGTCACTCTTGGATTGGTCAACTGCTCCCAGTCCCAGGTGATACCTTGGGAGTAGTGGAAAGTTACTAACACGTGTGAGCTTTCTAGCTCACCTGGCGGTGCAGCGCCATCTATGGTGGAGAGTGTGGTTGCGGCCTTCTACAAAACCTCCTTTCAGTAAGGGAACATGTTTAGCCTTGACTACATCTGGTCTTCCTGGAAGATGACTGGCTCACTCCCTGTTAGGATTGGAAGGTGAAATATATCCCCACAAATTCGTGTGTTTGAACATTTGGTCCCCCAGCTTGTGGTGCTAGCTTTTAAAGTGTGGAACCTTTTGGTCATGGGATCTAGTTGACAGATACAAGACCCTACAGGAGAAGCTACAAGGTATAGCCCAGCTTGGATCCTTATCCCAAGCTCTCTGCTTCCTGACCAACACAATGAAAGCAGCTGCCTCATGCATGTCAAACTGTCACGCTGCACCACCGTGATAAACTGCAACCCTCTCGAACTGATCCAAAATAAATTAGTTTAAGTTGCTTTTAAAAACATTTTATCACTGTCTAAGAAAAGTAACCAGTTCACTCACAGTCTTACACACTGGGCTTCTCTTCTACCTGGAACTCCTGAGAAGAGAGGAACCCAGACCCCCGTGTTGTCTTCTGTCACACATCAGTCTTCGTCCCCAAGGCCCACGAAGAACATGCACAGGATATACTTCTTCATCATGATCTAGAGTTTAGTGAGCAGTCCTCTCCACATGAACTGCTTCACTCCTGATCTGGCTCCTGAGTTTGTTTGAACCATGAGCAAGTACACAGAAAACATTTCCCCTCCCTTTTAATTCTTTTCATACAAGTTTGTGCTTTCTACTTGAGAAGCATGATAGCTGATCTTGAAATTTCTATTTTAGTTGGGTTCATCACAGAATTAGGAAGAGTTATCCTTCAGTAAAAGGTAAGATTCAAAGCTACTTATGTAATTTAAATTTCAGTCCTCCTATCCTCACGGTGGCCCTGATCCTCATTTCCTGAAATTCTACCAGTTGAGACTAAGGGTTTAGATAATAAACCTTGATCTGTGAAGCTATGCCTTGTGGTACTTCCAACAAGTATGCTGCAAGCCAGGCATGGTAAACCCAAACCTATTATCACCTACTTAAAGAAACCAGGACAAAAGAATGACAAGTGTATGACCTACAATGGCTACAAAGTTTAACATCAGCCCTGGCACTTAGCAATACTGTCTAATGTGGTCTACAAAGTAACACCAGCCTGGGCATTTAGCAACACTGTCAAAAATAAAAAGTAAAAAGAAGTTTGGGGATATAGCTCAATGGTTGAATGCTTGCCTATTAAGTGTGAGCTCTTAGGTCCAATCCCAAGCATAAGAAAAGTAGCTTTGGATGAAGATAACTTTGGATGAGACAATATTTTGTAGTTTAAATGAAATGATTCTTCCAAAGAATGGCTCCAATATTCCCAGGGTGAAGCAAGCAAAGAGTCTGTGAACATATGTTGTGTAGTGTGCACTACTTTCTCTTTAATAATTCAGATACCCATAATCTGTCAACATTTGGTGAAAAGATACCAAAGAATACCTTGTTAATTAATTAAGTTCATGATCGGATTTCAGGCATTCAGACCAGTCTGAACAATTTGCTGAATATTCTCCAGCCTTTACTCAGATGAGTTATTTTTGTTATGGGGATTTTATTTTTGCTTCTTATTGTGGCAAGTAAAAACATGAATTTGGGTCAAGCAAGATTTTCTAGTACACTTCTAGAGATCTCTTTTTAGCTAAGTTAGTAGAAACTGCAATGTGAAGTAGTAAAACAGGTCTGAGTTTCTTGCCCTATGTCAATATAAAACAGAGCGCCGTGACCAGGCCCCTTCCTGTTATTACAGTGTCTTTATTCTCACCAGGCATTTTTAAAATACCAAGCTGTCTACAGCAACAGTAATTTAGTGGGTTCGTGTTAATATATTCATGAAGGGTCTTGATGGATTTGATAACCATAAGCAGCTGTTAACATTAAATTGCCATTTAATTTTTTTCAGTGACTTTCAAAGTTGTCAATATTAAACAGTAGGGCCTTACAAATTACTACTCTAAGGCCAATAAGAATAAAATCAAATATTATTTTAAAATCTCAACCAAGTTTTCTTTTTCTCTACAGTATGCCACTACAGAGAAAACAGAAACACATGGAGGCATGTTGATCTTGGCTATTAGGCACCCCATTATGTATTTACTCATAATTTGCTTTGGATGTCACTATACTCAGAAACTCATATTTTCCTCTCGCACCCATTTAACTTTGTTTATTTTTTGAATAAGGTCATTATACAATCCAGGCCTATCTTGAATTTGCTGATACTGGTATTTTAGGTATGCACAACCATACCTGGCCATCTCCATTTAATTTTTGAACTCCACCCTTTGCCCCGCCTCCCTTCCATCACTTCTGTGCCATTCCCTTTTAGGACACAAGTTTCATTCTCAGCAACATGATTGCAAGACACTCTTACATAAGTAATTTGAATCTCCATTCTTCCCCTCTGTTTTCTCTTTGTTGGATGGCTGCTTTAATGTTCCAGTTGTCTGGATTTGAGTCTGTACTGGTGACACCTAGCCAGCATCCACAGTGTGAGGACTGGGCGGGGCATGTCAGTGGTATCCCGAAGAACTGGGAGTTCTGCAGTTCTTACTGGCATGCTTCACCGCCCTCACTCCATTTGTTCAGCAATCTAAAGGCAACAGTGTATATTGAAAACCAAGGTTCTCCTTGTTTAGGTTCTCTGCCTTGGCCCTACCGCCAGGCTTCCTCACTCAAATGTCATCAATAAGAACAGGAGTGCCCAAGCCTGATTTCTCTTCTGTCCATTCATTTTACATATATGAGCATTTTTAATTTTACCTCTTAAACAGATATCTTAATTTTTGCAGAGAAATTTTTTTTAAAAAGTTTTTAGGCAGTGTTGGCAAAGGCATTGTTTTTAACTTGCTGGAACATGAAAAGGGACTTTTTGCATCATTCCCAAATAACATGCTTTCTCTCACTGTACTTAACTGCTACACATTAAATAGAGATATTCCTCATTTCTATAACTTCAAATAAACTATAACTATGTGTTCACAGAAAAAATAATCCATAGACATATGGAACATTTTCAAGTAATTATTTTTCAAAAAGTAGAAAAGCATGCAGCTTTTCATAAAAGGACAACTCAGCATATATTTAAGATAATTCTCTGTAACAGATAACAGAAAATGTCTTCTGCTCTTTTGGAGTGTGTGTGTGTGTGTGTGTGTGTGTGTGTGTGTGTACATGTATGCATGCTTGATTTTTTTAATGATTGTTTTTATTTTCACACCTGAAAAGAACTAAAAATTATTTTTCATGATTTAGTTCCAATCACAGAAACTTTCAGTGATTTGAGCATGTCAGTCTAAAACACGGGGTGTCACATGAAGCTTACCTAGCATTAGGAGCCCTGGATTCAAGCTCCAGTACCCTTCCCCCATTAAAAAACAAAAACAAAACAGAATCATAAGTAAAAGGTGGGCATGAAATAATTGACAGAACACTTTCCATCTTCCTATCGTTTCTTAATTTTAAGAAGAAAGTACTAATGTAAACTACACTAACTTTCCACACAGTTTACTGGTAGGAGTCTTCAAAGTCTCACATCTTCGGCTTGTGATGGAAGGTAGAGTTAGTGTAACAAGGTCGAGTCTACAGTGAGGCATGGGTGCACAGACTGTTAGCATTCCATGAGAAAGTGAGTAGGAAAGCAGTGTATTTAGAAATATTGACAGTAATTTGATGCTGCCTTGGTATCTGATACTGTGTTTTATAAATGCAGCAATCAGTATAGTTTAACCAAAAAGAAAAGAAAATGTCTGTCAATGGTAACCTGAGAAACACTATTATAAACTAAAGTCAATAAATAATTATAAAATTTCAAGTTTTGCTCATTTTTCTATTTAATTGTCTTTGTGGTCTCCAGAGGTCACTGGGTATTGAACCCTAGCCCTCTTTTTAGAGTTTATTTTGAGACAGTTACATTCAATTGTCCCAGTTGACCTTGAACTCACTGTGCAGGCAAACCTTGAGCTTGTGATCCTCCTGCTTCAGAAGGAGGCTACAGATGACTCCTGATGACTTCAGGCCGTGCTGAAATGAAATGCAGACTATAGCTAGGAAGATTATCTATCCAGGTGGACCAAGTGCACAGCTAAAGCTCCGAATGAAACAGAGGCAAGCAGAGGGCTGGTGCTGTGGCTTAGAAGCAGAGTGCTTCCCTAGCAGGCTGAGTCCAGTACCGGGAGCCTGGGGAAAAGGGCAGAGCCAGACGTGGGACAGCAGAGACTTAGAAACTCTAAGATGCTAGGACAATGGCTTTGAGATAGAAGGAAGAAGCCCAAAACCAAGGACTCGAGGTAGCTCTTGAAGCTGGAACTGGTAAAGGAAAGAACTTGTCACTGGAACTTTAAGATGGAATGCAGGCTCTGAGGTTCAGCTTTGGCCTAGCTCAACCGTGAAAGTCACTCTGGACATTTGTTTCTAGAAAGGAAATCTGTTTTTGGTTTGTTTGCTTGTTTGTTTGTTTAATCTGCTATGCTCCTGGTAATTTGGGTTGATTTGGTTTAGTTTGGTTTGGGTAATTGTTTTGTTTTTGCCTTTTCAAGACAGGGTTTCTTTGTGTAGGCCTAGCTGTCCTGGAACTAGCTCTGTAGAGCAGGCTGCGCTCCCAAGTGTTGGGATTAATGATGTGCACCACCACAGCCTGGCTTGTAGTATTTTGTTATAGCAGCAATAGGACACTGATAAGCGCATCTGCAAAAATCTATAAACTGGACAATATATCTAAATCATTGATAAACCAGCATATATAATCACAATACTGACTAATGACACCTTAGCCCAGGTCTGTAATCCCAGCCACTAAGGAGGCTGAATCAAGAGATCAAAACTATAAGGCCAGGCTCTGTTAGTGAAACCCTGCCTCAGAAAGTAAAGAGGGAACCGGGGATGCAGCTCCGTGGTAGAACACTTGCCTGGCATGTGCAAAGGGCCAGATTTCAATAACCCTATAACTAGCTCAGGAGTGTGCACTTGCATGTACATGCACACATACGCACATGCTTGCACACTCACACACACCTTCTTAGTTAGCAGGACTATGGAAAATATACTAATGTTTGCAACTCTTGATTACTTACTCATGTGTAATCACTGAAAATTTTGAGCATCAAACAGATATTTCATCAGCATCATCAATAAACTTTTGGCTTCACTAATACTATTTGACAACCTCAAAATTATTAAGACACTTCGGCTGTCTCATCTTGATGAATTTCCCCAGTAATTTCTAAAGTTCTTCCTGATTGCCAAAGTAGGTCCATTTTTTCTGTATTTGTACTTATACAAATAAGTACAAATTCTAGATGAAATTCAGAAATATCCCAAGCCACAAAAGAAAAAATGTAAGCTGAATTGTATGATGCTTGTGTGGGCAGCCTCTAAGAAATATGCTGTGACATTATTAATAAATGCTTACTAGCAACCTGAACTCCCATCATTGAAAAGCATTAGCTGTTTGTGGAGTTCATTATCCATCTCTGCCAGAGAGCTTTGAGTTTTCATTGCATATTCTTTTTGGTGGTTGACTTTCAGTAGTAAGAAGCTCTGGATACCATACAGTGTCATGCTGGTGCCCCAAAAAGAAGGCCACTGGAGTTGGTTGTATATCAGGAAAATGAAGGTCATAGTTTAATCACAGTGGCCCTGTGCCTCATCACACATATAAGGCCCCTGCTTTGTTTCTGTCCCTGCAGCTTCATCTTTAGAGACTTAGCACTGGAATTCTTCGGTGCTGCCTTTTCCCTTGTTTTGAGAACGGACTGCCTTTATATAATCGCTTTAAGCAACAACAAATCAGGAAACCATCACAAAATTCAGATGAAGCAGCCGTTCTCGCTGCCTGGGTTAAATTGTTGTTTGAAGATGTGTAATTGAAAGTCTGCTCCTAAAATACATCTTTTGATGAGCTGGAGTCAGAAACTCATCTTTTCTCTCCCATTACTTGAAAGTCTTTTCTTATGTGGGGTAAACAAGTTCAATTTCTTTTTACTGAAGCACATAACCATACAACGTTCAATATGCAGAGCTAGGCGTAAGTGGTACAGTGCTTGCCCTAGGTTCAATCCTAATGTGGCACACATAAATCAATAAATAGATGGATAAATAAACAAATCACAATAACTATGAAGCATTAAATGTTTCTCTACAATACCCCTCTTTTATTAGAATAGTATTACTAAGTTCCATGGAATGGATTCCATCTAACTAGCTAAACACAAACTTCTAATATAAGAAATTTTGATAATCTTTTTATGCAAACACAAGTTGTTTCAATAAAGGCTGTTAGGAATAACTCTTTTTTTATTTTTTTATTTTATTTTTTTAAACTTTATTTAACTTTATTTCATGCGCATTGGTATAATGATGTCAGATTCTCTTGAACTGGAGTCACAGACAGTTGTGAGCTGCCATGTGGGTGCTGGGAATTGAACCCGGGTCCTCTGGAGGAGCAGTCAGTGCTCTTAACCACTGAGCCATCTCACCAGCCCCAGGAATAACTCTTTTGGTGTAACTATTCAACAATGTTCTCATTAAGTTTTATATATACAATTTGAAAACTACAAATAAAGAAGATAAAATTCTGAAAAATATGCTAATATCTAACATTAAAATATGTTAATGTTTAAATATACCCTGATTATAAGGATTTTTTTACTTTATGAAAATACTATGGCATATTTTGATACACTGAGATATTCTCTAGAAATGAGGACAATGACATGGAGGAGAATGGGTTTGGCTTCAACCTGATTAATTATGGAGCCTGTGGTCTCACCCATGGGGTCAGCTACAAAAGTACCAAAAAGAGAATCACCCAGGCAAGACCTGACAAGATGCACAGACTAAAGAGGGAGGGGTGATTATTTGCTGGGACCCTTTAGGAAAAACAAGGTTGCTTGGGAACAAATCGGAATAATCCTGTTGCGAAGACAAGAGATAGACTAGTCTACCATAAAGATCTCCTGAGACTGAAAGTACTAGATCCACAAAGGTAGAGAAGTTGCCCTTGGGCAGGAAAGACAAAGGCTTGGAACCCAGAAAAGGGAGCCAGATGAGGCCAGACAGAACAGGTGGGGAAATCTTTGCTGTTAAAAAAATGGAAGGACTTGGAAGGTTTCTGATGTTTTGTTTTGGTTTTTTCTGAGAAGGCTGAGATCATCTACTGATTAGGTAGAGAGGGAATAGAAATTTGCTTTCTTTAATGATTAACAAAGATTAACTAGTCTGGTAATACTTTCCTCTTCCACTAGCTTTTGGCTAGTGTGCAATGGCATCAAGTAGGCAAGTGTGCTGTTTTGATATTGTGCACAGCAAAATGGCTTTTCACAGGCTCTAGGGAACACATCAGGTGCTGATTTGCATCGACTATAATTTACATATTGATATTTTCATTAAAGAATGACAGAAAGTTCAACTGGGATAGGAATTTAGACCTCACTTTGCATTTTCACTGCAGGTTCTATTTCCTATATTTTATTTTTATGTATTAATGTGTATATGCATGTGTGTGATATGGTATGAATTCAGAAGTATGCATGTGCATGCCACGAGACACTTGTGGATATCAGAAGACAACATTTAGGTTCTTTCCTCTTGCCATGAGTTCTAGGATTGAATTCAGGGTGTCGGGGTTACATGGCAAGTACTCTTTTGAGGAGTCATCTTGCCTGCCTTATTATTTATGTCCGTTTTTGTTTCTTTTGCTCTGTGTGTGTTAGGAACAGCATTTCTGTGCATGGAAGTACAGGTGCCAGAAGAGAGTCAGATTGCCCAGAGCTGGGTTACAGGTGATTGTGAGCTGCCCAGCCTATGTTCTGGAGTTCTCTACAATAGCAGTATGTTGTCTAGAGACAGTCTCTTAACTGCAATCCTCGAATCTGTAGATTTTTAAGTTACTGTAGTCGTTAGGGTTAGTGTTCATGTAAATGGCAAAGAGCCCCAAATAGTGACTTAAGCAGGGTAAATCATTTTTTTTTTTAAGATAGTTGGCCAAAACAGGATTTCGTCAAGTACCTAGGATGGTCTTGTGCTTTCAATCCTCCTGCCTCCGTTTTCTGGGTACTGGGATCACAGAAGTATCCCACTATGCCCATCTTCTT